AGTTTGAATTTTGAAACCAGTGAAGAGCCAAGACGGCGCACAAAGAAAAGCCGAATGTTTGTATATACGACTCGTATGATTGATCTGACAGCGCTATGGGGGGAGAATGATCTTGTATCAAACTAAACACTGTGTGATCAAGAGGACATGGTCATTGGTGTTGGTGTGCCTTGACAATGAGAGGAACAAGGTCAGCGCGATGATTACAGGTTGCCAATTCAATTTTCTATTTATTTGGCCGTGAGTCATGTGACGCACTGCCACCGACATTTGCACTCATACCATGCTCCTGGACCTCCCCTGGACGCTGCACCTCCTGGAATTCCAAAGCAAAGGGCACTTCTAATGTGTCTTTTTTGCCAGAGTCATCACGAGCCGAATCTCCCATGTATCAATAGAACATCGTCTGTGCATTCAATTTACATCATATTAAAATATACTCATATAAGATTACAGATGACGCTCGTGGCTAGGCTGGCATACACTATCACAGACAAGTTGATTGCGAGTCTAGCAGGTACGCATGATTATGGCTAAAAACACAACAGACCTGGTTACAGTGAAAGCACAAACGCAAAACTCAAGCCATTCATCCACCGTCATACGAAGCCTGCCGAATGTGATTTGGACGTACGAACAAGTGCATCGATATCACATTCAGTATTTTCCCATTTCGCATGCAGCTCGCGCCATGGAACAATCGTATCCCTGCTGCCCGTTTTACCTTGAACCAGAGTGAAATTCGAGTGAAAGCTTGGATTACGTCCACTCCAACTCGTCGTGTCGAAGATCTTAACAGCCAAGTCGGAAATTATATTCGTCAGTCTGCTCGATTTGCCTCTGGTCTAGAAGAGATTGTCCAAAGCTTGTGAAACCTGTGGCGATTAATATCCAATATGTGCAACGATGATTTGGACCACCATGCAGTATAAAGGATGGAAATGCGACCGTCTGCTCCCTGATGATGGATCGTGATGTTTCCGTGTTGACTCGGATATGTTCCGCTGCCAAAATCGACGGTGTGCCGGGTCTCCGTCCTTCTACATTCTTGACTAATGCTCGAAGTCATGTCAGAAAGTAGCACCGAAGAACAACCACCGGGAGTACTCACCAGCAAGTCCTTGACATATATATATATCGGCTCTCCACTTGCTACACCCCAACTTCAGAAAGGAAAAGGAACGCCAACGTAGCGGCGCTTCCACGTGAGAAATTTCCCAGTCGCATCAGGGCCTGGGCGCCTACTTGCGCATATGTACACCTTTGGGAATAGTTGCTTACAGGTTCCTTAGAGCAGAAGCGCAGGTTATGATCCCACTGTGGGTTGGCACTTTGATCTGGCCACCAAATTGAATCGCAGTACTGTGCAGAAAAATCTCGATTACAGATTTCAAGTGAACCCTGCAGTCAGGCTGGCCTCACTATAGAGCGGAAGTAGTTTAGAGACTGAATGACATTTCGATTGGTGGTGAATGACACTGGAGGAGCGAGCGCGGATAGGCGCGGATCTTGTCAGGACAGCTCGCTGTGCCTGAAATGTCTGATTTCGAACAAAGCGCGTCCCGGAAGCTATATCGCATCATGCACATACTCCCGCTTGATCCATCCTAAGAACAAGGGAGGATGATAATGTGCATGTGTGTGCAGTGCCAATACTCGAGTCATTCACTATGCTTATCCACCTTAGACTTCAGTAGGCATTTTGAACACTTCAGCAAAAAGAACAAAAGAACTCTATGTGGGATGGCAGTACCGATGGTCTAGTTGATATATACATGCTGGTGGGAGGCGCACGAGTACGATCGTGCTACTTCTCGGTGCTTTTGCCTGATTCGAATACTTCCTGGTGCTGTGAACTGGCATTGACAGCGCTGAGGTACGTGTCTAAAAGGCAATGATCAAGATGAAAGGGCTTTCGATAAACTCAAAACTTACTCCAAAACAAGCTGACAACGCTCACGACAACAAAGCGGAGGTGATGCGGTACGATAGCGAAGTTGATGATTTGGGTGGGAATGAAGACGCCCCTAGATCTATTTCAGTGCATGATGCGTAGGCAACAACGCAAATATTACCAGTTACGAATCAATGTTGGGGCATACGCCTGGGAGACACGTGAGATGGTTACCAGATTCCAGGGGGGATTGGCTTACAGTACTAATGCGTTCCTTTGCACCAGAGATACCCTTTCCCTCCATGATACTCATTGTGCCGAAAAAGAAACCGACAACCACTAGAAGAAAGCGAAGAGTGAGAAAGACGAGTAGATCCACGTGTAGTCAACAAACCAGGAGTCAGGACCGCCTGGTCCAGCCAGACCTGCAAAAAGGCGATCATTCCTCATGAAATCCGAAGAAATAGTACATCCCATACACGATATACCACAGCCTTCGTAGGACTGGAGAACTTGATGCGGTTCAGAAGTTGATACCATTTTGTCAAGGCTGGCCCAAAGAACGCTCCTGATAAAATTAGGCATGGATTAGGCTAATCCCGCCCGCACTTGGTTCATCTTACCTCCATAAAAAGTGAGGCGTGCAGTGCGCATGAACTGCGCAGATTTGATCAAAACTAGTTCCTTCTGTAGTCACACCAATGCTCACATCATGATTCTTGCCCTGGCGCTCGATGACTTGCTGCGCGATCACATCACCTGCGCCAAATAAAACGGCAGCAGTGGCGGACTGTGCCAATACGGGTCTTCGGATGAGAGCGGCACTGAGATACTTGAGCAAACAAAACTAAGAATGGATGAGTTGAAGCCACCGACTTGTATAACCGAAGAACTGAGGCCATGGTTGAAGAAATCGTTTGGGGTAATTGGAGTTCTGGGGAACTCCAACGTACCAAGTTGTAGACTCGGAACCGCGGAAGTTGAATTCAACGTGCGATATTCTTGCTACTTAGGCTGTCCGATGTACGTAACTTGACGCCCGCGACGGTGGAATCATGGGGAGATAATTTCGGTAGTTGTATACTGCTCGCTGGGGGAATGAATGTCGTGACGAGTATATTCAAGTTACTACTCATACTTTCTGATCTCTCGCTGATATCTGAATCATACCTAGTCCTCAGCTTCATGAAAACTTACATAATTCATACTGGAAGGACATAACATGAAAAACCTTTCGACCATTGCATTTTAAACATGTCTGTCATTTCACTGCTTGCGTTATCTCTCGCTCTAATCATCAAGCACGTTACCGGCATCTAGCAGTCTCCAGTATCGTGTGTCAAGATGCACGCATAGAAGACGGTGCCTTCGTTTGCAAAAAATGCAAGTCTAAGATGCGCCAATATTCCTGATCCGAAACTGACATTGCCTTGGGAACAAAAAAAAAATTGCTTCCCGTGTTGATTGAAGTATCTGGGCGGACCAAGTATTAGTGTGCGCACACGAGTATTTCCAGCTGTGCGCATGCAATGGCCGACTCGGAACATGAAATCTTCTTGAAACCATTGGGTTGCCACAGGCTTGGTCACTGTTGCTGGAACGCGCACAACCCTGACCTTCGTCCGCCGAGTGATGCTCTATTCATACTTGCAGCCCATTGAGAGTGAATGGCGGACAAAGGAGGACTATGTTTGTGTTCACAAGCACATGTATTCTGCATCCCAATTAGCATGGGTTCGGGAACTTCGCACGTACCCGACATGTATCCATTGTCCGCACACTGCCGCCGTTGCAAATTTAACCAGCGATCTGGTACTTCAATTGTCTGTGTCTTGCCATCCAAATTTTAATCTGATAAGGAAGTAACCATCAACCACGTGCGATGGACTTGAACGCCAGGTGAATGTGTGAAGGGCTGATCAAATTCAATGTATGGTATTTCGGATGGTCCAACGCATGGCCAGCCATGTGGCGATAAGACCCAGATACGCAAATGTGCGACATGCGTAGTGTGGGCTGGTAAGTTTGCGTAGTCATGTAATGTCGAGCAAAATTCCATACCTTTGGTCTTCTGATACCTCTTGCTACCTGCCGAGAACTTGCATGTTCAGTGTTCACTGTGGGTGTGTGAATCCCTCCAGAAAACCAAGATAAGACATCAAACTTAGAATACTCACCAGCAGCTTGGTCAAGTTTGAAGGAACGAACTTCTTCTAGGCTTCCACCGAATGGACAAGAAAACAGCATGATTTAAACTTCATGACTCGGAAGATCAAGGGTAAACGACAGCCTAAAAATCTCCATTATGAAGGATGATGATTATGGTTGCGGACTATGCGCAACTCCAGATGCAACCGTGACCTCAAAAAGTCAGGATCAAGGCAACTCGTTATCGCCTGGGACTCGAGACTCGTGGGGGATGCTCCAGACCCAATTGCGGCAAATACCGGCGACTTCCGAGTCTCTTTGACTTTCTACCTTTAATATGCCAACACCATCAAGACACTGTGATCTTAACAAATACAGAAGTACCCGCAGTGACACAATCATGATGTATTCCTCATAGAGGAGTCCTGATACAGGCTTTTCATTTCATGTAAATCACCGAGTCGTGACTCACCCTTGCAAGGTAAACCAATACTAGCCTGAGAAGCTGTTCCTTCCATCAAAATGACTAACTGGACAGATACTCTTGGCATAGCCTGCACGAGCTGCAACGACCAAATTAAAATAACCAAAACCATATTCCGCGATTGTTTTTTCCAGTTTAGACTTCGTCGGAGCCCTGTCCGAGATAATCGGGAGTAGTTGATAGTGAGTGAGAAGTGAACAGTATGTACATCTTTTGAATCAGTTCCTGGAAGCCAGGGTCACCCGTCTTCGAATTCTATAGTAACAAGGTTAACTCCCTCACTCAGATTAGATATCAATCACGCTATTCACTGCAGCAGAGTGCATGCGTACAATTGGCACCGCGTTCCATGCGTTAGCGGAGATACATCAGCCCTACTAGTGGTATAAAGGACTGAAGTAGACGTGTACAACTGACCTCATCCCCGCTCTCTGAAGGATCATAGCACCACAAGTCGATACCGGTCATCCAGTCATGTCTGTTGCTGAAAAAGAGAACCCAAGGGACAACTACTACGTCCAAACCGTCAACATGGACGCCCCACCACCCCCTGCACCACAGATGCAGCCATTCCAGAGGACGTATGGTAACCCTGTATGTCTTTCATGTTTTACTGCTACTATGTCAACAGCATGTAATTGGCTTTTAGGCACCCTTGGGCATGATGGCCTACGGTACCGTCTTCCTGTGCTCTTCAATATTGACGCTCGCCTCCAAGAGCGTTGGTCAACCTAACTTGGTCTTGGTTTTCGCAACCTTGTCAGTTTTTGTTACTCGCAAATGATTTGATTGTAACCTAGTCATTTCCAGCTACGGCGGCATCTCACAAACGCTTGTGGGCATGTGGGAGATGTTCCTTGGGTATGGTTCTAACCTTTGGATGGAGAGCTACCACTAAGATTTTTCCATAGTAACACGTTCAGTGCAACAGTCTTTACTACCTACGGAGGTTTCAATTTATCTTTTGGTGCTCTCTACCTGCCTCAAATCGGCCTTGCGTATGTCGTTTGCAAGCATTGTTGCATGTCCTCTCTCACATAGCTTTCAGGGCTGCATACACCGTTGACGGGGTTGTTGGGCAGGAGTTCTACAACGCCATCGGGATCTACCTCGCCATCTGGGACTTGATTACGTTCCTCTTTTGTGAGTCCGAGGAAGTATGCTGTACAGACACATCCTTAATAATATTACAGCCTTGGTGCAATCCGTACAACCGCCCCCATCGTTGTAACGCTCGGATTCACCATTTGCGCGCTCACTTGTCTTTCCATAAATGCTTTCACCGGTGCGTCTTCTCCCTTCTAGTATTATGTTCTATCTGACTCGCGATACGTAGGCAACCCACACTTTGCAACTGCAGGTGGTGCCCTTGGCATCATCGCTTCCTTCGGTGCATACTACGGCGCCCTCTCGCTCTTCTGGACTCAACAAACAACGTTCTCGTTCATTCGCCTCCCTCCCCTCATTACAGCCCCTTCCAATGTTTAAGGACTATGCTATTAGTCTTCAGCCGATCGCTCTTTCTTTTCTTCAGTTTTCATTCTCAACTACGTTTTCGGTCTTGGTTTGTATTCGATCATATGAGTAGAAGACGACTATTTACCACAGCGCCAGCTTCGGTTCCGGGATGATTATAATAAATACTGGAGCACGCATGTACATAGGAGTCACGTGAATTACTCCCGCGGGAACAAACCAAGTCTGGAACTCAGAATGACATAAGAGCGCACGGCGCTTGACCGAGCACACACGAATTGCTTCCGCAGGATCAAACGTTCCTTCCTCATCTATATATATTGGACACCTGTTCATTTCAGCGCTTTTGCTGATGTAGAATCTAGGGTCTTTTGCAAACTGTAAATGAGTCGTGAGGGCGTTTTCCGGCACTTTGTTTGTTCAGGGTTTGAGGTAAGTCAAAAGAACCGAGTAAGGTCTGACTTATAACAGGTACCATGAACTCCTGCCCGGGCCCTGGCAGTAATCTCAGTGATATCAACAATCGACATACAGCAGGATCTAGGGAGATGGTTTACCTCCACCGTCAGGCCTTCCTTGGGTTTTCCACGCTGTGGAAATATCTCAAGGCACTCTCGAATGGACTCTTTTCCCCATCCCTCACCCTTTTCCGGCGCCTGTTTGGCGGTCTGTTGAATGTCCCACATTCCTGCTTTTCCCGGAATCCTATATCTTCATTTCTAAGTATTTACCGACCAGCTGACAGTGGTTTTAGTATTCAATCAGATGCCTCGGCGGGAGTCGCTGCGATCAGTCTCCGGGGTATTCCAACAGTACCTGCCAACGCATCCAGTACGTTGTTTGTTGGTAGTCAACCAGATTCTCCTTGTACGGCTCATAAAGTTTTGTTACAGATAATATTGCATGCAGTTTGGCACCTGTTGCTATGTCTCCCTTGGCACAGTCAGGAATGATCAATCTTCAGTCGCAGTCGCACCAACACAGTGCACCACCAGTCGTACCAAATATTCATTGCCGCCGTAAAGTTCCCTTTATAGCTTCATCTGTTCAAAGATACGGAAAGGACATAAAAATGTAAGTTATTCTTGATGCTCATCATGCGGCAGCAGCTTGTTTAGGAATGTGCACCGTATAGTGAGCCTTCTAGCGGGATAGAAAGTATCCACCCTGCCGTTAGACAGTACCCCAAGTAAGTAGTAGATATTCTGGTAAATGATCCTCAGCTGATGCTATGCAATTGAGACGCCATTTGCCTACTGATTGGGAAGCGCATGTTCATCCCGAGGGTGCCCTGTATTTCTATCATCCGGGGAAGGTCAGCTCTTCTTCCTGTCGTGATTCATGACACTGACGATTCTATTAGAGGGTCTTCACCGATACAAACGTGCAGGACTTCCTCGACGATTTGAACAACTGTGCAGATGATCTACGCGCTCTTGCCGAGAGCAATAACATTGACCTGACTCATATCGAGCTGACGCTGCAGCTTGGCAAGCATCCGAATACCGGAGAACGAGTCTGCAGTTATTATTTCGCTGACCGTGTCGAGCGCACCATCTTCTGGCTTCATAAATTAGATACCGAAGACCTTTTTAATGGAGTCAGAGGGGTGGAGGAACACAGTCATATCTGTGAGCACCTGCCCGATGTGACACAGGATGTGCGGCACAGGAATTGAATTGACCTCCTACAGGTTATGTCATCCAAAGCCAGTACTGGTAACCGTCCAAGTTATCATTCTGTGAGTATCTTGATACAACATACTGATTGAATGCTCATACCACATTAGTATTGCAGTTCGAGCTAGCAACTCTGTTGAAACAGGATGCACTGTGAGCTCTATCCCAACAACAGAGAGGAGGAATCACAAAAGGGACTTCTTGCGGAGCTCAGAGAAATCATTGTGCATGCTAGTGCAGGTCAAATAACTCCAATTTTCGTTTATTTAACTCTGCTCATGTCTCCGCCTAGACGTCATCACGTCTGAAACGTCCTTGTCACCATTTGGAGGGGAAGACCTCTCAAAAATACTGGATCTAATCGATCACCTCAAAGGTGCGCAGAAGTATGGCATACATATAGCCAAGTTCACTCAGATCAAACATTTAACAGAAACTACTTCAAAGGAATGTGGCCCCTACTCCATATGCGTCATTGGTGCGTCTTTGACACTTTCAAATCGCAAGTTTCCTCGCCTCACGTATTCTGCTTTAATATTAGCACGTTTTATGCGATACTTCGGTATGGTTGGTCGTTGCATCAGTCTTTTTGCGGACTTGACATTCAGGAATAGCCCGAGCCAAATTTTTGAACTTCTGCGGCCAATCTTGTGCACGTTTGGCAGCTGACCAGTCAATATATTTCACGGATGATGAGCACATCGTAAAGTCCGTAATATCTTGGATCATGGAGCTTTTGTGTTTCGGCGCTCCCCATGCTCAGATGAAGGAACTGCGAAGAGTCTGGGTGGATAAAAATACAACTTCACCTCGATGGAAAGATTTCAATGACAAGCTCGGCAGGGAATGGGTTTCTATCACGATCTATGTGCGATATCATTTACCTTACTCGCTATTTCTGCTGTTCTAAACCGATACGTTCACAGTCGACGGTGATGCTAACTGTGGATCTCACTTTCCTCGCGGTGCCCAGCGTGAACGCTGACGAATCGCAATCTGTTACCATTATCGCAGCTTATCTGGCAACGTTCTGTGTAATTGGATCCCTAGTTGTGTCCATTTTACTCGCCGGACAAAACCGCAAATATGGCAATGTCTCTGCCGATACCGCTGTATGAGATACTTCTACCGTGGACTGCGCTCGCACTAATAACCCTTGTGCAGGTCGTGTTCCTCACCAGAATGACAAATTCAATATTTGGTGAGAAAGCCCTCGCAATCTTACACGGTCTTCCGTTCGCACTGCTTATGTGGGGGTAAGTACTCTCCACTCGGTTATGCCTGCTGATACTCAGACTAACTTTGAGCCAGGATGATATTCTTCCTCGTCGCATTTTCCTCCCTGGTGTTTAAATCTACCTCCGACATACTTCGAGGAATAGTTGGTTGTGGTTTGTTGATCATCATCCTGCTCATCTTGTGGCCGATTTGGAGTACGAGAGACTATCATGTGTTCAGTTGGCTTCGTGAACGACTAGCGTTATCCGAATAGCTGGCAGCATACTTGATGACTTGTAGGTTATGTACGTACGTTCGTTGTATAATTGAGTAAGACTTCGAGGTATTGAAAGGTCTAAAATTTGATTCAGTATTCTCACCACCTTCAAAACACTGATCGTTACCCTCGGTCTCTGGTACCGCGACTCGCGCTTTACAGCTGTGCCTCGAAAATTCCCTCATGAGCCCCTGGCATTTGACAAATTTGATAACCAGAGATGTTCTTGACGCCTCAGCCCAGGTCTGGCGCGGAGTCATCATATTCTTAATGTCAAGATGTCTATGTCGCTGAAGATTGATGAGGTGGTACAGATGCGCAGTGCCCTTGAGGGTGATGATGATCTACAAACTGCAGTGTAGATAACATAGATATGATATAGGACTGATTAATGATTAATGATTGTTTTTAAGCACGATGGCCGACGCTCAAACAAGGTACTACTATAGAGTGAAATTGTAAAACAGGCTTATGTAATTGTAATTGTAATATTCGGTCACTCAGTCAGCTCTGACTCGATCCGAGGCTCATAGAATCGTCCCGCTGACCATTACTGGCAGCGCTCGGCGTGTCTCGACTCTCCGATTGTCCTTGTGCCACTTCGATTTAAGTACGGTGTTATACCGCTCCTCCGCACGAAGTAAATTCTGAATTATCACATTCATCTTCATCCGGGTGAGATCGTTGATCCCGTAAGATAAGGGTCTCAGCGCACCTTGAAGCTTTCGCATGTTTCTGAGGGTCAACCTTCTGAGGTGGTGCAGTCTTCTTTTCGTCTTTCTTGTCAGCTCCATCTTTCTTGTCAGCTGTTCGAGGAGTCTCTGGTACGATCCTGTCATTCTTAGACTTCTTGTCCCTCTAGTCGTCCATGTAAGTCCTCACGAACCCAGTCTCCTAAAAAGTCACTGACCGTCACTGCGTTAATATTTGCTGGTCCCATTGTTGTGAATTTAGATGGGAGTTGCGGTGGAAGTAGCGTGATGACTCGTGAGATGATTTCAACGCATTTCCTGTCGATGCCATTTTTGGTGAGGCAGTACTAGTAAGGCCATGTTGGGCTATGCGAAAGCACATCCATATGTATCGATTCTGGCCATGCCAGGCTTGCCTCTGGGCCCTGGCCATGGCAGCAGTTGGTTTTGCTCAAATAAGTGACAGTCGAATCTCTGACTGATCACGCGGAGATTCGAGTCCTCAGAAAGTGCGGGATTTAGCCAGTCTGCGTGAAGTCTAGACAGACAAGTCACAGACTGCGTGTTGAAGTCTGGGGGACAAATCTGCTAGTGGTTGTCCGGAAAGTGCCGAGGACTTTGTCAAAGCCTGCAGTATTATGTCATCGTCACCCCACCGCCAATTCTTGTCCTCGAAATGTTACTGATCGCAAACTCCATGACACAGAATGAGGCGAAAGTCGCGTGGCGTACTACTACGCGGCGGATCCCGGGCACCCGTATCCTTTCAGAGGATTGCTACAGCAAGATGCAGGCCTAACTTCAACTTCATCGCAGAGATTGGGACTCTGCAGGGCAGCCGCACTTCTGGTACAGCAGATCAGGTTCGACCTTATTTTGGCTCTCGTGGGGTTGGTAGAGCAAGCGCTCATACATAGGTCGCCCAGCGTTACTCATAAACCCGTTCATCAGGCGTGTAACTTCGACAGTTCCTTATTGCATTGCACACGTTAGCAGACCCTCATCTGCATGTTGCACCCTAGGGATAAAAAACTATTGGTTAATTGTCTGTCTTAGGTATGTATACATATAGATTTAAATAAGTACTGCTCATTTCACCGTTTCTGCAAAATTAAATCGGGACTCTTATTTGCAGTTGTACTGGTCCATACATGGTTTTGACTGTATTCAATAATGACCGGCGGCGTCATGATATAACGTTCAACACTGATCGGGACATGGTAGATGTGACTCGACATCCTGCGAGACGGACGGGTGACGCCGTGAAGCTGATATATCCATACTGGTCCTGGGTCCATTGCGATGGGGTGCGGAACGGTGACAGATGGTGCTAATTCAGCTGTAACGGCCAGCCAGACGTGCTAATATCCGTTTTATGGGCACCTACACGGATCCTGTTGAGGAGCCATGCATGTCCTATGGAGCATTGCAACAGATGGAGGCAGGAGAATTAATTGAAAACTCGTTGTGGCGTTTGATTAGACCTTTATGTGTCCAAGCTTGTCCAGTGAGTCACGCCACATCATTCGCCGTTCTCAAGTTGCTGCAACGAAAAACTACTTGGTCGGTGGCCTAACTCCTCTACGTCGAGCCACACATGTGGTAATGGATGGTATGTACCCGAGTGCAGCTACTGGCCAGGTGCGGGCGCCCACCTAATACATGGGACAGATTTGTTGAACGACGAAACTAAGGTCGTGTTTCTAGTAACAGTCACGGTACGCTATTAGTAGGACCTGGCCTCGCCGACATGACATGGTACTTGCTTGTTTCAGACACTGATATCATTCCAAACCAGAAGTTTGATTGACCCATCAACATCAATTGGGGTCGGGCTGGGCACGTCGATCGGAGCAATCATAGTACGTAATGATCAACACTCATCGATGTAGTCATCAATCATCCGGCTGTTAGTGAAAGAGGTAACTCTAAACACTGTCGTCGTAGGTTGGTAGAGAGGCCTGTTGATGCTAAAAGGATTCATGTATCTTAAAGTCATACGTAATGGCAGGCGTTCAACAAAAAATGTGATTGCTTCCTAGCGTTACTAACAGTACGAGAACCGATTGCTTGCTTCCTTCATAAATGCATAACGGGGAGACTAAAGCAGTACAAGTACAAGACAACTTTGTTTCAAATGATAGCCATTCAAGCGAGTTCCCACTCTTCCCCGTTCTCCGTGTAGAGGAGTTCTTTCGCGGTCTCACCGTCCACAGACAAGGAAGGCCCAACGGTGAAGTTGGTCAAAAGGGTACTAAAAGTCAACCCCGACAGAGGAGCAAGTGAAAGGATCACCTGACCAGTGGTGGAATTGACGTTGACGGACAGATCGACGGTGGTCAACGTGATAACGACATTGTCAGAGCCAATCATAACGGTCCCTGCAGTACCGCTGTCGGTGCGACTAACGGTGAAGCGAGTGCGTTCAGTGCGCGAAACACAGACTGCGTTCGTCGCGTTAGAAGATGGGGGATAGTACCAATAGTCGTGAGGAGCGACTTTGGAGCGAACGAAGAAACTTTGGTAGGGCCGCTATCAGAAAAATGCAGAACATCCCGCAAGGAACTGACTTACGAGTTTCCACTGATGTGGTCCGCGCAACGTTCGAGCCGTGGGATGATGCTCAAGCCGCGACCACCCAGGTCGTTCAGCAAGGTGAAAAACACCTTACCGAGGAATTGAGTCGCAACCCCAGTCGTGGTGAGGGAGTTGGCGGCGTTTGCCACGTTCACGTTATGAGTGTAGAACTGGGCATTGACACGCTGAACACTGGTGACAAAACTAGTGACGGCGGAAGTGGACACGGCGCGCCACCACTCATCCGCAACTTCGCGGCTAGCAAAGGTAATCACATATCGATAGGTCACGTTGTCCGTGATCTAACCAGCGATTTAGCACGACATCGCAGACAACGAAGAATGGATTTTGGTACCTGTTTGACATATGCGTAGAAAATCATGATTGTATATTCAACAGGAGAGATGGTTTGTTGGCTGTGGTTGGATTGAAATGAGTTGTTCGACGACTGTACATTATATACAGAGAAAAAATTGTTTGGTCGGGTTGATCATAACATCTCGACCAACTGCGATTTGAAAATCAAAAGGGGGTGGATAAAGAAACACTGCCAATCCGAGCGAGGACATGATGTAAGATATGACGATTTGACATGTCGCGTCAAGCTGGACATTCCGGCAGGCTGCATTTACCGGCACCTGAAGATGCACAAAGTCAGTAGCCTCGTCCGACAGGTGTGTAAAAATAACGACCGGCATTCGATATAGCCTCGATCCCCCTGGACCAGCTGTCCTTAGTATCACCGTCGTAACTCGTTGGTGGTGGCATGTCTATCTTTCTGCAAAAGGAACAGGCAACATGATATTGTTGAAGCGTGTGCGAGACCTTCGGAGACATATATTGAAGCTGTAAGGAGGTGATTGACAAGGGCTACGACTGACTTTCATCTACACATCGCTCAGACCGAGCCTGTGTTCCTTCTAAAGTGGGAGGTACGAGTACCAAAGAAGGGCGACTCATGACCAGGAAGATAGGCTGATGGTGGCCCGGGATGTCCCACATCTTCTTGCATAGAGCCGCCATGAAACCTAAGTGACAGCAGATCTGGGACGATGGATCTGCATTTTCTGCGCCCTACCCGCCCCAGGCCTAGACAGACAGACTCCCTCTCCGCTAGCTCAGGGAACTTACTGTAGTTCTAAAAATTTTGCTGAGACCAAAACTGTAAGAGAATGATAGACAAGAGTGACGACTTACCTTCATCTACACATGACTCGGACTAAGCCCGGACTTCGTACATACTGTGTTTCATTGCACAGCACATGTGCATACCAGTGTCGCAAGATGACACCATTATACATTCCAACTCTGCAACTCACTACAGCCTAGACCTGATAGGTAGGCTACCCTCCGAAGCCCTCGTGAGTTCCTGGACCTCTTTAAGTCCAGGTTCTAGATTCGCCTAGGAGGGTTCTGTCCGCAGCTCTACAAATTCATGAGGAACTGACCGTCATGTGGTTCCAAAACTGTACATGTACAGCAAGCCCCTTTTCTTCCGCCGTTATCTTGTCTTCATTTTGGAAAGGACTGATGATTTGAGAGCTGGCTGACTGCAGAAACAAGAGGCGTTCCTAAATGCAAAATACTGATACATGACCGGTCTTAGCACGAGAATGAGGGAAATGGGACGGCCTTGTGCTGGGCAGTACTACAGATGAGAAAGCCAGCGCAGACTCTGAGCCGGAAGGGGGCCATCAAAGCGCTCAAATGGTTTGCGATCATAGTGGAGCTGTGCCGGAAATGAGCAAGGAAATGAAATAACAGACCCCAATACATCATAACATTGGTCAGAAGCCAACCAATATAATTTGATATCTAAAAGACAAGAGACGATAACATGGACACCTTGTTGTGAGTCACCACAATCGATTCGCCGTCAAACTACACACAATCTGCAAACAGTAAGTCCACGAATAAACAACGGACCCGGCGCTCACGAAAGCCCAGAGCATAAGTCTTCAGGGGATTCGAAGCACGACAGATGAAATTCAGGGTAATAAAGTGCATCATAGTAAATGGGATACAGGCAACCGCCTGAGGTGGACAACAACGTTCGTCAAGCACACGAGCGATGTGGCACGTGAATTTGTAAATGAACTTCATCGCACACTGCCGCAGGAAAGGATAAGCCAATGCACATAGGAGAACAGAACAGAGAGCCTACGAAAAAGCAGTGTAAGATACAACAGCGACAACACTCAATTACAGCGTGGATAAAAGAGAAAGACGCCACAGCTTTATATTCGTATCATGCTGATATATTTAGAGGAGGTATCTGTGAACGAGCTCGGATATGTGTAAAGTCTTTGGCTGTAGGAGATGGATGCACACATGAGGAGAAGCGCACTTTCTTATAGGCATTTTTTTCAGCAATTGGCTGCGTAAATATGGGGAATGTATGGATACAGTTTGTATGAACAACATGGTGGAATACAAAGCTGACAGTACCTTCTTCATACTCGACGCCCTGTATAGCTAACCGGCAATTTCGTAGTCTCGAAGTAGAATATCCATTTATCTTCGCTACTCCTTAACGGATATCTGCCCCAGTAGAATTGTTTGCATTGTCCGTACGTCCATTTCCGTCGCTCTAGAAGTTATCGACGGAAATTTTTTTTAGCTCAATAGTGAACTTGGAAGTTTTTGTAACGAGATAAATCAACAAAACAGAAAATGCAGCTCCTTACCGCCAACAAGGACGTACCCCAGCAGCCTGTCTTCTCGAATGACCACGCGCTTTGGAAGCTTCTCCGAGTCAGAACCGTTGACATGTCCAAGCAGTAGTGTCTCTATAGCCGTCTGAAAAGACATGTAAGTTTGGCCGAGCTTGCCAGGATGCGTCACGGTTAACGCGCGCTTACCGTGATATCATGCTGCTCTATAGCGAATATGGCCAGTTCCACCTTCGAAGGACTGGAAGCAATATGTGGTTAAACCTCTCGAGATGAGACTGAAATTATCTCCAGCAGTTGTCTTGTTACCTTGGGTTTCTGCTTTTGATGGTGACCTGAACAACTGTCCCGATGTGATCGCCGGGATTCAACGATTCGGCTGTAGTGCTGTTGTGCGGGAGTGCTTCCAAGTACAGTAGTCGAGTCTTGTTGAGAGGTAGCGCCATCGCTGTGTCTTTGCCCTATGATACTGGCTGCCGCTCGCCGATCGATGTCTAATTCAAAGATTAGAATTAGTAACCCGTCTGAGCTTGCTGACTAATAATTCACCCGTTGTGCATGATTTTCGTTAGGCAAGGCAATCTCCACTACCTAGCTATGGAATTTGTAATTCATTGGTTCATTATGCCCGTGTTTGAAATCTCTCGCAAGGGAGGGGTGCAGTGACATGAAACTTGGGGTCGGCCATTCGTTAACGTTCAGGCCTCAGGGAAGATTCGATGCGCAATGAACTTCTAGGCACGGTAGACAGTGGGCGTGACAGCCTCAGCGCTCTAGTTGACACAACATATATGTACCTGGATTTGTCCCAAGCACTCACTCTCAGCTTCCCGACAATGGATTTCAGTGAGTTCGTCATTTGCTCACCCCATCTAGAATCGTGCTAAAAGGCTTACCTCTAAGTGCATATTAGTACATCGTCTTCTAACGACGCATGGAGGAGCCTATGCAATGTCGTAGAACACAGCGGCATTTTCGATTCCGACAAACGTCAGCCCCACTTACGATGCATGGAGAACACGCGTGTTAAACTTTGGTCGAGTCTGAGAAGACTCCTCCACCGACGTGATCAAACGAATGTTTGGCTCAATGGCTGCGCTGGCATTGAAAAGACATCCATTGCGTTCACCGTAGCCGAGGAGTTCAAAAGAGCCGGAAGACTTGCCGCCACTTTCTTCTTCTCGCACAAGCATGCCCAAATTGCTGGCAAGATTATTCCTACCATCGCATATCAGCTCGCACTGACTTTCCCGTGCATTCGAGGCGATATCATACAAGCGATCGAGAAAGACGAATTTCTCTTATCGTCTGAAAAGTCCCGTGTTGACCAGATGCGGGAGCTGGTTATCAATCCACTACACACGTTGCGATTCCGTCAAGAGAGGCCTTATGTCATCATTATCGATGCTCTTGATGAATGCTTTTCTTGTCAAGAGGCGGCAAGACTGGCTAGGCTGTTCGTGGAGATGCTCTCGGGCACGAACTTGCCGACCATCCACCTGATATTTACGAGCCGCCCCGACGCTCATATCCGTGCGGCCATGCCACCTGGCGTCTGCCAAATTTCCCTCACTATACGTGATTCATTTATTGTACAAGACGTTCATTTCTTTCTGCGAGCATCACTTGACAACATACGGACAAGCCGTCCCGATATTTTCGGGCGGCCCCCCAAACCTTGGCCGTCAGAGGCTGAATTCGAGACCTTGGCCTCTAGGACATGCGGTCTTTTTGTCAATGCTGCTATGGTTGTCAATTTTTTATCTCCCGCCGGTCAATGTCCCCAGCAGAGGCTAGACCTCTTACTTCGTCAGAAGTCAAGATTCTGCGTTGTCATCGACCGAGATATCAACGAGCTTTATCGACAGATTATTACAACTTCGGAGAATCCAGCATTGTACTGCCGGATGTTAGCATCCATCCGTCTCATGCAACCGCTCCCTCTTAGAGACCTCCAAGAACTTTTCCATGCGGACAAAGAGAGCTTGGGTGTAATGCTGGAAGCATTTTCACCCGTGATCTCGAATCCACCCGATGGAGTTGGAAACGTCGAGATTTATCATGCTTCGCTCCACGACTTTATGAAGGATCCCTTTTGCTCGGCAGAACTCTACGTGAGCAACGCTCGTGCTCACGAGTACCTTGCGTGTCGCTGCATTGACTTGCTCACACGAACGGAACCAGCATATGGAGCAGTGGCACGCAATGCGCACCGGTATGCACATTTTTGGTGGGGTACACATCTTTCTTCGGCCTATCCTAGCAGCGAACTTCGGCATCTGCTCGCTAGGTTTAAAAAGGAGGATTTGAAACGTTTGGTAGCAGTCGCAGAACAAGATCAATCACTTGGTCCTCTCATATTCAATTTGCATGAAGCAAACAACGCTTGTTTTTCTTGGGTGACTGTTTTGGATATTGGTAAGAGGTGGCAACTAATCAAATTTTGTTTTAGAAATGGATCAGAAGTTTGTCTGATATTGTCGTTGCGTGGCGTATTGTCAAAGCTTCAAGAAAAGTTTATAGGGAGGTGAAGAAATCAAACAGTGAGTGGACACGAGTATAGCGTTGCGTATGCTGACCTGACTTCTTTAGCTAACGTAACTAATACATAAGTAGCAGGGCAAGTGGCAACTTAAATCGCCCTGCAATGCGAACTTGATATGATGTTCAAGGCGCGCAATCTTTGGTGTTGCAGGCAATCGTAACAATTGAAGGGGCGGTTGTTGGGCGGTTGGTCGTGACGCATCTGACTAGGGTTTTGTAGGTCAAATTTGTAGTTAGGCGATGAAATCTGTTACCCACATGTATTGTCTGTGTCAATGATGTCACTGCGCTGGAGCGTGTTGCTGTGTTTGCTTCCTGTGGGGATTCAGGTTGCATTGTGTGTCTAGTGCTAGGCAACGACCAATGCTGTAAGACATGAATATTGTGATACAGCATGAGCACTTGGCTGTGGCAGGATGACGAAATTCCAGTCGACGACTGAGGAAAGAGTAAATTTATGGCAGACGCTCCAACTCAGAGGGACATTAATGTCGTCAAAGTGAGGGCCTGGTCTTTTGAAACATTGACAAAGTCGAGTATTTGAGCCTGGGCCAACATTGGCTACTAAGAAATAAGAAGGAACGAGCTGCAATAGAAAAAAGTTATATAGTTCGGCGCAAATGTTAAAGAATAGCCTGGAGTTTCGGTATTGGTGACATGAAATACAGGGAACATTGGGCGGGGATGACGACATCGACTTTAAGAATGCAGACACGGAGAACATGAGACGAATCGAGATTAAATCTCGACTTGGCAGAAAGATATGGACGCCGTGCTCAGCGCGCACTGCGCAAACACGTGTAGGTATTGCTGTATCGTTTTGGCAAGCTGTGGCGACGGGTCTGGGATCAGTTGTCATGCGTTTGGAATCAGACAGTGATTTGATGTAAGAACACGTACAATGATATTGAGCGCTGAAGAAACTGCTATCGGGCTTTTGAAGCAAAGCTGTGTACATGCAACCATTATGGTGAGAACAATTACTACCCGAGAATATCCAAGTAACGGTACCTGCGAGTGAACACATTATTCGATGAGTATTCGTGTTACCATGAATAAGGATAACGCATATGAAATACACGGAACGCATAGATCACCGGTCTGATTGTGATAAAGCTTGAAGGACATGGCTCGGTTAATAAAATGAAAACCTGCCAGTGGAGCAACAATGCAAGCAAGATGTCAGAGACGATGCAAGTGGTACGATCACTTACTACCAGATGATTACATAGGTCAGATACACTGCTCTTCGCACTGCGGAAAGTGGTACGGGCTTGTATCGCCTTTGATGAAGGGAGTCCCAGTATGACGTTGCGGTGGAATCATGATGAAGGTTTGATCCGAATCGGCTTGATCTACGAAGATGTGATGTTTAAACTAGTCAGCGTCAGTTTTTGCGGCGCAGACTGATCACCGCTGCGACTTGGAAAGTTCCGCGGGAGCAAAAATGGTCATCCGTTTCAAATGGAAACATGAACAAATATACTGTAACTGCCAAGAAAGGCTTAGCTTAAAGCCCCGGGGCCCGATTTACTACTTGCATTCAGATACACTGAGCATGGTGCAACCAAATTATTTCTGTATAACATCAAGAGTCGCTTGCTGTGTCGAATAAATAACCTTCTTTCATTCCTTCCTTCATTTTAGACGACTCACGACACGATTTCACAGTCCGAAAAGCTAATCGACCGTGACGGTGAGCGGCAACTGCCAACTGACAATGAGCACACCTCCTTCCAGCACTACATCAGGTGTCCCCGAAGTTCGTCTTAGCTCATCTACCTCATCGTCACCGCATCCCCCAACCCGATCCTTATCCGGTGCAGACGAGAATCAATCATTCTCCGCTCTCCCTCCAGAGCACAGTGTGCCATCCCCAGGAGATAGCACCGTCCATCTATCTCGTCGCGATGACTGTGCCAGGAACTCGAATCAAATCGCAGGTGGTGGAGGACATGGAAGTAAGAATATGAGTGCGCGCACGATTGCTAACATACCTCGTGACTCCATTCTTTTGTCACCGGCCAATACAAAATTTGATACATCCCCTACACCATCTGTCATACTTACTCATCATCACCATGATGACGGAAAGGCCTCGTCGGCCCCGACGTCACCTATGGAGAGGGTGTCACCTCCGGCGTCTCTTGTGCCTGTGTCGTCAAGCGAACGCTCAGACTTGTTTCGTTACTTGCAACGCCAGCATCATGAACCCCAAGGAGATACACCGCCGAATGGGGTACCAAGGAAATGGTGGTCACGTTCACCTTCGAAGGAGAGAGGAAGGTCTGTCTCGCCCTCAAGAGGGAGAAGTGTCCCCTTCCTTAGAGGTATATTCAGAGACCCGGTAGTTTTTTCGCCCGGGTCGGGCTCCAATCTCTCGATGCCGGATGATTTTACGGAACGGGAAACTCCACTTTCTTCTTCGTTGCCCAATGATCTGTCTCTTGCTCCTTTGTCCAATAACCTTCTCTCTTTATCCCGTGAGGATCTTCAAATCCGCGATCTCGATGAGAAGAACTCCAGCGATGAAGATGGAGGGAATGAGCATTCGCTTTTGCTATCCTCTCCCGAGGCTACTCCTGCCACCCTTGTATCGCCCGCTCTCCCCGTTACTGCACACATGTACCCGCAGACCCTCAAGTCACTAGGTATAGGGATTGAAGAGGGTCTGCGGAGGGATGACATCGAGAATAGCTATTGGTCGAAGCTACTCAAGATGTCTCCAAAGTCGTCTCCCAAGTCCCTTAGTGCCGATTTAGGGACAAGTGCGTCCGCAAGCGAGACTACTCCGCAAGTTGAAGAGGGTCTCGTTGTCTCAATGGAGGCATGGGATGGAAAGTCCCTAGATGTCCCTCCTTCGGTCATGTCCCTTGACTCATCCTCACCTACGAAAGGTAAAGCACTTGGACTACCGAATCTGGCAGTGTCCTCGACATTACCTCGTATGTTCTCTTAATTTTTCTGTGATACTGGTGTCCCTAACCCGTCAGAAAAACGTGCTTATCCTGGGAAAGGTAAGGGGCAAGCCCAAGATGCACCCCACAAGGAACCTTCCACCTCTACACCGCAAGCTCACAGCAAACACTTGGAATCATGGTTTGACAAGTTCACTCATCGTCAAAGCGCAAAAGGTCAGGAGAAGGAGAATAAGGAGACTGAAAGTTGGCTTCGGACGAGGGAGGTAAGTTCTATCTATTTTGTACCTTATAAGTACCCCGTCGTCTTTAATCCCGTCCTTGCTGGATGGAGACTTCAACCAAGAGATTCGGCGTTTCTTCTTTCTTTCGTTTAAGATCAAATTCGTACTCATGTGTATCATCCCAAACAGAATGTATCCTTAGCGTTGAATGCTGTCCTTTCTACTTCTGAGCTCGCACAACTGTCAGAAACAGGAAAGGCATTTGCGATGGAGGGTCATGTTGCTCGTACCACCGCTGAGCAGGGCAATGGTAAAGATGCGAAGGCATCTTCGGGTACCAAGAAAGGTGCTGTGACCGAGACTTACCAGGGTACAGAGAGCAAGATTGGGACCAGCCAGAAGGCTTGGTTGACAGGTGAGTCCTCCTCGCGTGAAGTTGGATTTCACTAATGTCATTCTCTTTATCAGTCAAATCCACAGCAACGTTTGTTTCACCTATGCTTCGAACCTCCCTCATGATTCTTGGTGACGTCGCCAAACTTACACCTATCCATGGGCTCCATGAAGCTGCGAGGATTTTGCTGGCAGTATGGGAGGCTGTGGATGAAGTCGAGGTAAGTATTTGATTTGATTTTGATTTCCATCGTTCTTTTTCGGGAGTGGAGTTTGAGATAGAACTTACGTGGTTTCAACAGACTAACCGCCTGCAATGTCTTCGCCTCACCGAACGCTGTGCGATGGCGATTTACTCTGTGCGCGCTGAGATCGCGGATGCTGAGAGGGACATGCAGTCCCAGCAAGGTCAAACTGGAGATGTTGGTGTTGTGGGGCTGGCAGAGGAGATGGAAGGTCCTGTCAGGAAGCTGAACGAGTGCATTGAGATGGTAAGTTTTGCTGTGCTTCAATTTTGTCACGGATCGACCAACCATTTTGTTTGTCCTCTGCTTGAGCGCTAATACTCAGTCTCTAGGTATACAACTTCCTTCTAAAGCTCAACCGTCGTCCATTCCTCAAGCGGTTTTTGCGTAGCGACGAAATACAGGAGGAAATTCTAGCATGCGACAAGGCGCTTGGGGATGCCATGCAGATGTTTAGCGTGAGTGTCATCTTTGCTTCCGTTTTCGGTTAAAGTCAATCTAACTTTGACTTGACATAGATTTCAATCCAAATCAGAATCCTCAAAGAATTCAAACGCTTCGCAAGGGATACGCGTCTTGATCCTGTGCACCATGCGCAGGGGCCTACGCCTCCACCTGTATATGCATCTCCTCTGTCGCCGACCCTACCCATTTCCTTAGACCGCACTCCAACGGTGGGGACACCGGCACTTCCAGAACCGCACGACATTCTCCCAGCGACATCTGGGCTGAGCAGGAGTCCTCCAGCACAGAATACACCATTGTCATCCGTACAATCCCAAACTAACGACACTGATCCACCCTCCGACGCGCCAATCTCCCCTCTCACTGAGCTTCAGGACCTTCACGTTGTCGAAAACGCCTCCGACAGAGAACAAGACCGTGCACTATTCCGCAGCACACTCCAACGTGCCATTAGTGCTCGAAGGGATGCTGAGGTGCTACAGGTACTAGAAGTACGTCCTGGAGAGGTGCCTGAGGCACTAAAGGCGCTTCGGAGGGCTGAGGAATCGCTGAGAGGGGAAAGAGAAGCTAATGAAAGGAAAGGAGGAGATTTAATCGATGAAGGCCTGGAGAGAGTGTTCATGGAGACTGGGATTGAGGCTATGACGAGGTTGAGTAGTGTTGCTGTACAGAAGGCAGAGAATCAAGATGTGGATGTTCCCTGGGATTTACCGCCTTGGACTATTACCCGGTACGTCTGGTTTCAGTTCCGTTTGGGCGAAGTCGACTAAGCTAATAATATTTTCTTTCTAAACAGCTACGAAGTCGACCGCCTCACCATGATTGGTAGCGGCTCCTTCTCCAAAGTCTACCTTGGTAGCTGGTCTGGGCGGCGTGTCGCCATCAAAGTCCTCTCCCTCCACACTCCTGCACCCCTCTTCAGGAAAGCGGTGGAGATATGGAGGAAACTTAAGCACGAGAACGTGTTGGGAATGTGGGGTGCGAGCAGCGCACAAGGCGAACGACCGTGGTTCATGGTGAGCGAGTACTGTAGCGGCGGGAGTTTGGTAGGGTGGTTGAGAGAGAGGAAAGGGAGGGTTGGTGAAACGAGCGCTGGGGGTGCATTGACTCCTCCCAGTGCAGGTGCTAAGGGAGATGTGGATCTTCTCCGGTGCATGCACCACATTTCGAAGGGGATGGTGTACTTGCATGATCAGAATGTATTGCATGAAGACCTCAAGGTTAGTATTGATCGCTACTTGGTCTTCAGGTCTGAGTTTGGAGTACGCAGGCTTCGAATGTGTTGGTTGATGATAACGGGCGGTGCGTTATCTCTGACTTTGGGCAGAGCGAGATGAAGTGGGAGGCGTCGAGGGGGGGCGGGAAGCCCATTACGAGTGCGTTTACCTCGTCTCCTTTCCATCCTTCTTCGTTTGACTGAGGCTCCATGTAGACGGGACGTTGCGTTGGCAAGCACCAGAACTACTCAATGGACCCATGAGATTGTCGACAGCTACAGATGTGTATGCATTCTCCATTTGCTGCATCGAGATTCTCGGCATGGGCGACCTTCCGTACGGACATCGCGACGATACGCTTGTTGCATTCCTTGTCAATTGTGAGTCCCGACCTATACAATACACGCACATTAGTAACGCCTTTACAGACCAAAACAAGCGTCCCGAGATTCCCTCGACACCCATCACTTCACTTGTGGAACCTCTCATTCAGGAATGTTGGGTTCGCGACCCCGAGCAACGCCCTACGTTCACACACATTGCTGCGACGCTCAAGCGACTTCGTAAGCATCAAGGAGGGGTGGAGGAATCCCCTATCCCAGTGCAGGCCGAGGTACTTTTGACGGCTTGGTCAGACCCGCCCCACCACTCGCCGAGCATGCATCCTCTAGAGCTACCAGAGACGTCTCCGTCTACTCTGCAGGAAGGTCAAGTCATGCTGGAAAATGACTTGGATGCCAGTGTGGGAGGAGACGAGTTTGGTACTGCGTCTGAGGGTACGGGAAGACTTGTTCCTGGTGACGCGGAGTCGGTGTCAACAACATCACGGGAATCGCAGCCAAAACCCTTCTATCCAATCGGACAGCCGCGCAGCAATCCATCGTATCATTGGGAACCCACCGTGGATTCTCATACGGGCAATATGGAGATGCCCGAGGGAAAGTATTCAGGGATTGCTATCTATACGCCGACTCGCAAATTATCTTTGGCAGAGACCGATTCGATGAGCAGTGCCTCGTCGCATCTCACATCAAGTCCAGAAGCTGAACACAGTGCGTTGGAGGAGGTTCGTCGTCGTCGTCGTTCGCCCCATGTTGCCTTGGACAAACCGTCTCTGCCAATGGATGAGCAACTCGCAGAGAGGAAAAACGAGTTGCGGTTCAGGTCATTAGCACAGTCGAGCCATGACTTCCATCATTCTCGTATGTCTTTTTCTCTGTGTTATAACTGTTCTTGGGTGTTCTGGCGCTGATTGAACATGTGGTTTCGTTGGCAGTTACCTTACCCCTTTGGTCACCTTCTCATGTCGAGCTAGGCGCAGTGGGATATCTCTCTGCACCAAAAGGGGAGTTCATTACGCTCTTTAACGCTATGAAGCCCCAACAAACAGCGGGGAGCAAAGTCACGAATATTCCTTCGCTTGGCGGGTACCTCGAGGGACCTATTCGTATTGGGAAGAAGTCTGATTCAATCCGTACGATGACGCAAAGAGGGCTTGAGCTCATTTCCGGGTTGTTGACCTTCCCGCTGATAGATCGTGATGGGTCATATTCGTGAGTGCACAGCAGGTATATTTTTGACCGGTTTGTTGTAACCACGCACGTTTAGGGAACGCATTTCGAGGCGCCACCCATTCCCCCTTCGAGCGGGCCATAAGGCTGCATTTATCTATGCAGAGTCGACAATGTACCGATTCATAGAAGACCTTGCAGCACCGAAAGACTGGTTTAAGGCTAATGTCAATACCATTGTCAAGGAATATGCTCCCTATCATCCAATTCAGAAAGAAGACGTTATTTTGGGTGAGCATCCCTACCCTTCTATTCATAGTGGAGAGTATACCGACTTTCCCCTATAGTTTTCGGTACTTTATCTGCACCCGAATATGCGCTCTTCGTGAGCCATTCTCATCCAAATGGCCAAGCCCATTTCAACGTCTTTTCGGATCGCCAGAGTGGTCGACCATGGGGCACCTTTACCACAGATACCGAGTACCCTTCCGATGAGGGTGGCCCCTCATACATCGAAGAGATACCCCGAAAGGCAGTGTTCGCGAGCAAAGTGTCGCCAGTGCGGCTGAATGCTGGATCCAACGACAAAGACTGGGACACGTTGGTGTTGGCCAGGCTCCGCTTCCCCACGGATGCAACTGAGCCTACTTCACAGTAAGGCCGAGACTTGACTTATACCTATCATTATTTATTAATCCTGTCCGGTTTTCATCGACTGAGTATCACTTAATCCTCATATTGTATCGCTATATCTTATGGACCGTTATGAGTCTTGTTTACTACATGATTGGTTTCTCTCACCTGGATATTTAACTTACTGCTTCATGTATGTACGATACCCATCAACTGAACTTCTGGATCGTCTCCTCCCAGCGAATCGGCAGCTTGTGATTTCGGGATGACATATCCGATCGATGAGACAAGGTTGGGTGTTTGATTATGCCCATCACGACAGATGCGGAAATATTCACGAACGTACAGTCTGCTTGCTGAGAGTCGCGATGCATAGACCTGAGGTCGTGCTAGCGGTCGCCTAATCCTCCGAAGGTGCCTCTTTTCGGACAATGTTCTGTGACAAAGTAACCAGTCCGAGCGAAGAATTGAAAGGATACGCACCCTTCTTATCTTTGGCCATGCCGCGAGCTGCGCATTGTGTAGAGTCCCTGCTGTCCCTGTTCTATTCCTGCAAGCTTTCCTCGTGTCTTGCCGATACCTTGGGAAGGAATCACTGATTATATTGACCCGGTTGAATGGTGAGCCTGTACGATGTGTAATCGGGGCCTAGAGTGTTATTCTTGTTTGCATGGTACGAGAGACGAGCCAAAGTGCTTACAGTACTAGTACGTCACGAAAATGAGTAACTGCAACATTATGTGCCAAGTAAGGAAATATCGGAACTAGTGAGCCTTACTATGCTTGCACCATGTCACCGATTGCAACAGCCTCTGATTAGTGCTCAGCCAGCAACACTTGGTTGAACCAGAACATTCACATGCACACCCGAGGTGCACATGGTCACGGTCTGGACTCTGGCATTGCAAGTCTCGATATATATAGAACTCTGGCAGCAGTGGCACAGGCTACCACCTACCACGGTATGTAAATTTTCTCCCCTATCTCAGGCTTTTGTTCAACTTTTGCCAACTAGAAGTTCAATTGACGGTATGTACTATGTAGGTCATTGTACAACACCGCAGAAACCGCCGCCTCGAATCGGACATCGCTCCGGTAAAAAACGGATAGGCACTGTTGACGTCGTTTCATGACAGCCGACGGCTGAGTTGGATGTCTTCCTACAAATATAGCCTCGGCTGTGGCATGCAATTCTCAGGACAAGAGGCCAGGTTTACATGTTGGACTCCTGTGAGCTTGTCATGATTTCAGATCTCACTTACCAAACGCTTCTGTCTTTTTTCGACCAGCACTTTACAATGAAAACACTTTCAAAGTCTTTGATCGTCCTCATAGTATGTCACGTTAGTTATCATGAGTCTATCTGCTTCATGAACGGTGTTCGTAGTACTACATCATCACGGTATGTTCGATGGACGAGCCAAGGGACACGTCAGCTCCCAGCAGTCAGGACAGTCTGACTCAGTAACTCCGGTTACGGGCCATTCCAGCTTATCGGCAATTTTAGACCTTGGTCGCAAACATATCATTAGCGAGTCATCCACACCACGATGGGCTAATTTGAGGACGCTGCGGCGTGCATGGCAGGAATTCTAACCCGGTATCTACTTGAAAGAAATGATTGCAGTGCCGTGCCGTGTATAAGGCTCCCATTGTTCAACGTTCAACACCCACCAACTGGAGGCCATCCCTCTGTCACAATGTTCGTTGGCTCTGTCTTTGCTACAACTAGTAAGTGCCTCAACATGAATTTTCCCTCGGTGACTTCTACGAATAAGTGCGTCAACAGCACCAATTACTAGTGTTGGCCCGTACCACTATGTCCCTACAGAGTGGATATGTATCCTTGTGAGTTGTGTTGTTTGTGCGGTTTGCATCTATCTCACATTCTTCCCTAGTTCCTGGTGTTGTATAGTATCTCAACTGGTATGATTTTCGACTGTTGAAGATGCACGGTCATGGCTTAATATTTTCAGTCCTCCACTTGGGCCAGGCGGTCAAGTATAGACTGTGGTGGATGATCCCCACCGCGACCTTCGCGGGTATCCTGGAAATTCTAGGATGGAGTGCCAGGTTATGGTCGAGTCGGAACCCCAAGCTTTTGACGCCTTATGAGATGCAGTAAGTGTCCATCCAGAAGGAATCACTCGTATGCACACTTAAACATCTTCGCTGCAGAATCGTCGGCACTATAATAGCACCTACTCCGCTTGTCGCAGCCAACTTTATCATCCTTGGCAGGGTAATTACACAAATCGGACCCCAGTACAGCCGTCTAACCCCAAGGTTATGTTAGTGTTTCTCTGATGCTTCTAGCATTCGATTACTGATCTAGTGCAGATACCATCGTTTTTTGTTGCTTTGTTAGTGTCATACATTCAAGTGGTGTGAATCCTTCATGTACCTCCTCTTCCTATTAGGACATTGTTTGCTTGATTGTACAAGCTGTGGGAGGCGCATCCGCTGCGCACGCCGCCAGCACGAAGACAAGCGCTTCGATGGTATGCACATCATCCCATATTTTGTCTGACGTTTACATCATCGAAACAGGGCGCGAACATTATGCTAGGAGGAATTGCTGCTCAGCTTTGTGCGTGATGAGTGCTCCTGTATGCTTCTCACTAAAATTCACGACCTTCGCTTTCCAGTTGCAATAGTGGTCTATGTCGCTTTAGCGGTTGAGACTCTCTTGCGTTTGCAATATAATCGACCCTTCCGCTACGTCGAACAGCGTCGCATATCGGAGAAAGGCCCACGTGCTGTAAGTAGGAACTTGCGACTTATGCTTTGTGGCATGGCGTTCTGTACCCTTTGCATATTTATTCGGTTAGTGTTCAGCATATCTTTTTATCAGTAGTTATGATGTGCTGAAATTGTCCTTAGATCGGTGTACCGTACTGTGGAGCTCGCCGATGGATGGAATGGGCCAGTGATTACGACGGAGCGCTACTTTGGTGCGTTGTCACTATCTTCGCTAGGAATACGCTGACAATGCTGTAGACTGGCTCGATGGTGGCATGGTGACTCTCGCCATCTACACTCTCAATTTCTTTTACCCGGGTATTTTGGTGAAGAAAGACAATCCTCTGACTCACGCTTCACAGCAATCCATCGACGAGGAATCTAGTTCGACCAAGACCTAAAACATTGAGTGCTCTTGGATTTTACTACGAAGAGACGATGGACCGTCATGTTTATTAGTAGAGCAGTTGTCGGGACGTTCTTCTATACTACTTCCATTCAAGTATCTACTTAGTACCTTGTGCGATTGTCGAACATCTCTGGGATATATTTGGCATGTCATAATAACCCCTGTTTTCTGTTTCCTGCCAGCTGTCATACCGGTGACTCACATTCTCTCACTTGAGATTCCACTGTGCAGAAAGGTTTAACGCTGGAAACTTGAAGGATCCAATATGACTAAGTAGTATGCTCGACTGGTCTAATTAATTTCCTGAGATCTAAGTACTCAAGCCGAGTCGAGCAGAAGACGACTCTGTAAACGAGTCGAGTACATAAGAACTTGAGTGAACATTGTAGTCGGCGAAAACACGACAAAGTATACGAAAATAAGATAGCTGGAGTGCAAGAGTATGATATCAGAGTCATTTTCACAACAGATCGCAGATCAGCCACTTGTAAATATGTATCAGGCGATGGGAACACGACGTAGAACTACACACCAATATGAATGAAAATCATCCTCTGCTCCAGCGGAACTTTCGTCTTCACGGCGTGTGTAGCACGGTTCAGTGCCCAGGCCGCCTTCGTACAGTCCATCACACCTCCATCCTTCAAATCTGGGAACATATTCTCATAAAAGGCTTTGACGACGTGTTTTGCGACAGAGTCGTCGACCTGCCACAGCGTCCCAATGACGCTCTTGAATCCCGAAAACTGAAGACCGGCTGCGAGATGAATCACTTCGTCGGGCGTGTCCTCATCCCCGACGGCGGTATGACATGCCAGCGTTCCGAAGATGCACTTCTCATTTTCCCACGGCGTTTAAATTAGACCTGATCACTATCCAGTATACGACCTCCCCAAACCGCCATCTACGCTGTCATCAACTCAGGTATGAAGTGATTTCAACTCACTAAGAATCTTCAATGCGCAGTCTGCCAGTACGACTTGGCCGCTACGTCCCCAACAATATGGCTGCTCCAGGCGTTCCCATGGTGCCTTTGAAAGTTACAAGTATGTCTGAAAATTCTGATTCTACATACTGAAATACATACATGAATCACAGGACGCGTGCGCTCGCATACTGCCTCTCCTAAGCTAATCTCACTACCTCGAATCTATCTATCTGGCTTATTGACGCCCATTCCTGCAAGCGCATCAACCGCAGGATGTCCCGAAAGCCTGAAAGCAATTACAGCCCATCAGCGAATGCGTCCATCGCAGAGAAACACTTCGCTATAACGTTGACGGGACCCAAAGGTGCTTGAGGACGAGTCGATCGAGGAGGTACTAACCCTTCAACAAGTACGACTAACTCCAATGATAAATTATGGGTGCTGACCATGGCAAATATATCTTGAATGTCGTCATATAATAAGTGCACGCCTTGGAAGATTCAACTTGGCACGAATGTTAACGCGGATGTAGTAAGTAGTGCACGGCGATAAGTCAAAGCTGGGTTGAAGAGACTGACTTCGACGAGTGCACATGTTGAGTTGGATGGGTCCTGCTTGTAACCTGGCAGTGGTTGTGTTCATTGCAGAAGGCCTTGAACGCTTAAAGGTATGACTGCAAGGCAAGAGTCGGGACTTGGCCCGCTTCACAGGCCCTGCGCCTAAGTACCATCTAAGTACTCAAGCAGAAGATAAGGCTGTAAACGAGTCGAGTACACAAGAACTTGCAGTCGACAAACATATGACAGAGTATATGAAATTGAGATAGCTGGAGCACAAGAATGTATCAGGCCTGGTCATTTGTACGATATAACACCATGAAAGAGAATCGCAGATCAACAATTTGTGAACATGTACCAGACGACAACAGTAGAACTACACACCAATGTGAACAAAAACCATCCTCTGCTCCAGCGGCACTGTCGTCTTCACAGCGTGTGTAGCACGGTTCAGTGCCCAGGCCGCCTTTGTACAGTCCATCGCACCTCCATCTTTCAAATCTTCGAACATATTCTCATAGAAAGCTTTGACGACGTGTTTTGCGACAGAGTCGTCGACCTGCCACAGCGTCCCAATGACGCTCTTGAACCCCGAAAACTGAAGACCAGCTGCGAGGTGAATCACTTCGTCGGGAGTCTCCTCATCGCCCACAGCGGTATGACACGCTGATAAGAACGCGAATTCAGCGTGCGGAATATCTCTCTCCATGATATCGAGCAGCGTCAGATCTTCGTCTCTCATGACGAAATGCGAATGGTAAGGCTGCTTTGGGTCCTGCTTGCCATGACAAGCTAGGTGCACCCATGTGTTCTCTTGCAAAGCTTCGAGAGCACCTGCTCGTGTGGCTGTGTCCCCAGAAATAGTAGTGCGTTTGGCCATTGCAGGGACGAGCTTATGGACAAGCTCGAGCTCGCTGTCGACGGCCAAGAGCGCCTTGCCTTTCCCTACACCTGGTTGACCTTGTCCGATTGTCACGAAGGATGGAGTGACGCGCTTCCTCGTCATCTGTCTGGATCTAACCAGAGCCGAAAGTGTGGGCGTGTAAGAGCAGATGTAGAGATCCTCCAGGCATTGCTCCCTAGAGCCATCTTGGTTCGTTCGAAACGGGTGAGCTGCGTGGAGAGGAATAGATGTGAAAGCTGCAGTTGGACACAGCCAGATTCGACAGTATTTTAGTTTCAGATCATGCCGGAGGACGTTAACAATGGGTAGCATAATCTCGTTCCATATTATCCGCGAGAGTACTATGAGATCCGTCCTCGACTGCTTTGGGGTCATCTGAGATGCTTCTCGTATTGCCCTGGCAAAGCGATCCTTGAGATTTGTCAGATCTGCGAGAGTGACAGACGGCAAGGGAACATGATGGGGGTCTCCTGACGTCGGGACGATGATGGCGCTGCAAGAGTAGCGACTCGCAATGAAGATGATGACCGGGCCCTGGCGTGATGCCACTTGCAGGTCTGCATACAGAGGTGGGAGCAGGAACCGCGAGAACCCCCGAAGATCACGTATTTGAGCAACCGCAGCTTCCCATTGCCTTGTAAGTCTCCTATACTCTATTGCGGCCCGATCGACGGCAGCTCTGTCAATGATGGTTGCAGAACTCTGGGCTGCATTGGAAACGAGTTCGCTCAGCTCTAGATAATTGTGCGCCAGTGCCGGATTCGCTGACTCGAGGGCTTCAACTGGAGTCCTGAGTCGGGAGGCCAGCGACCATTGCTGGCCACGGCCCTGTTCTACAAGTTCAATTGCATGTGGTAGATTGTCACAGCGGATGGCACATGATGCTGCATCTGCTGGGACTGTTCTGGTGTAATGGAAGGCAGCGGCAGCTTCGCGCCGTGAAATTGCCGAAAACCGTGTTGCCAAATGAGCATCCAGAAGCTCGAGAACAGTCGAGTAGGCTTCCAGCGCGGATCCATGATCATGCTGCTCTGCTGCAACGGTCCAATAAAATGCGCGAAAGATGCGTTGTGGGAACCCTTGAGTAGAATGTCTTGATGCGAGTCTGAAGTTCTCCATTGCAAGCGACAAATCAGCAGGGTCGTGTAGAATCCAGTAACGAGACAGATATGCCTTCTGCAACCACATGTAGCTGAAGCACCTGTCCGGGTGCAGTGAAGACAGAGCCGCCAATGATTCTTGGCAAAGAGCAATGGCCTCCTCGACATCTTCGGTCTTTTGAGTTTCCTTGAAACGAGAGCAAAGCGCCGAGCCCAAATTGTGAAGAGTTTTATGGCGCTCTGGATTGTCAAGCCGCTTTAACCGAAGTGATTCGCGATGCTGATCAATGGCCTCGTTAAGATCCTCGCTAACTTGTAATTTGTCATATCTGTTTTGGAACGCGACGGCAAGGTTGTTAAGCGTGGTGTCACGATGCGGATGCCCAGGTGGGCGTAACGTCAGTGCCTCGCGATAGAGGTTGATGGCTCGGGTCATGTCTTCAATGTCGTCACGTTCGTTGAAACGCTCGACAAGGGCGCCCCCTAGGTTGTCCAGTGAGCGATCACGATATTCATGCCCAACAGGGTACAGGTGCAGCGCTTCTTGGTACAAAGATATAGCTTCATCAAGGTCATTATGATTGCCTTGATGCTTAAAGCGGGACATGAGTGAAAAGGCCAAGTTGTTCAGGCAGGCATCACGGTCAGCATGTCCCTCGGGACGCAGAGACACGGCTTCACGACGAAGCTGTATGCTTGTGTCAAGATCATCGATGTTGCCGTACTGATAAAACCGTGCTTCAACTGCTTGTGCAAGCTCGTGGAGGGTTATGGGACGAAGTCGATGGCCCAGAGGACAGAGCTCAAGCACGACTTTTCGAAGGTGGATGCCTTCATCGGATGCGTCTGTTGGAAGATCGTTGCATTCGTCGATCACATAATCAACACCATTTTCCCCTGCCGCGATGCTACGAAGGTACGTGCCCTCCGGACAGAGAGGCAGTATCTCATGATAGAGTTGGGCGGCTTCGCAGATGTCTGCAGCAGTACCTTTCTTGTCGTGACGCCAATTCAGCGCTTCGGTGAGATTATATAGGGATAAGGGGTGATCGGGATGGTGCTGCGGACGCAATGCAAGGGCGTCGCGGAAGAGGGAAGTGGTAGTATCAATGTCTTCGACATCATTTTGGATGTAGCCCACAAGGCGAACCCATGCGAGGTTGGTGAGAGCCGTTGCACGGTCTGGATGGCCGACCGGACACTGGTCCAGAACCAACTGAAAATGCTCCATAGCATCGTTCAAGTCAGAGACATTTTTGCTTTTCATGTATGAGGCAAATTGTGCGTGGCCCCCATCTGCGTCTCGAGCAATCTTGCGGTCTACGAGAGCCTATATTTGGCGTTCCGTCAGCAAAGCTAACAGGACAGAGTCCGGGTCACTCACATTAAACAGTGTGCCGTTTTGATCGTCCCAAGCATGTACAACAGCAACCTTCAGTGTGATGAAAGGTTGGACACTACGCACGGCTGGGAAAGATAGATCTACGAGATCTTAGCATATGT